CGGTCTACTCTGTGCCGTTGCCGATGCCAGGCCAACACTGTGCATATTTCATGTTCGTTTAGTTTTGCGTTCCGTGCCTCTGCACATGAAAGGCCACTCTCTCTCTCTCTCTCTCCCTTCTCTCTCTCTTCCTCCTCTCTCCCTCCCTCGCTCCGCTTTTATTCTCTCGCTCTCCCGCGTCTGCCTTGCTCTCCCAGCATTTGAAATGGAAATGAGGAGCGATTCTGCGGATGTCTTCATCCCTCTCGCTCTCACTCTCTTGCTCTCTCGTGCCGTGGCCCCTGGCCCCCTCGGCTCTGCCCATTGAAAGCTCAGATAAAGGTGCAGGCTGTCATTTATTCTTCTACGGCAAATCCCTTTTGATTTACACTCGTGAAATCCCTGTGTGATCCAAACACGGAGAGACACTGGGCTGTATTTTAGGAGCCCGGTAACACTGGTGTCCACGATGTAAAAAAAAAAACGCCCTTAAATTAAAGCCATTAGTGTCTTTGCTTGCTGCGGTAAAGTAAGCCTCAACATGACCTTTTTAAAATTCGAGTTGGGACATGTGACTTGCAAATTTGCACCTTTGACCTTAAGCAAAGATTCTTGACAGGGACAACCTTTGAGAGAACAGTGTACCCACAGAGTCCTGACTGGTGGCTCACAGCGGAATCTTGACCATTAAATCTCATACTCGCAGCCATCCATACCTACGAAGTTCAACAGCCTCACTATTATTCATTTATACCTAATGACAGCTCACTGTGTCTTTTTTGTGATCTTTCACTTTAAAACCTGGACTTTTATAGACTGTGTGGCGACCCTTTGCTCTCAGAGCTGTAACTGAGCTGAAGCCTATTGTTGGTGCTTTCACACAGGTGGTACAGGTTTGGTTTAAAATTGTGTGCCAAAGGAAACCCATACATTGCTTTTGCACAGGCACAGCGGCATTGATTGCCTATAATCAGTGCCAAAAGCAGGACACGTTGAAGTGTTAAACCCAGGTACTCTAACCATTTTTGTCTGCCCAGGAGGACTAGTTGGCTTTCTTGCTAACAGCTAACCATCAAGTCAGCAGCACAATCCTTTCTTGTAGAGGAGCTCAAAGTAGCAAGCTGGTGTTATATTTGTTGTCAGTCTTATTTATGTCATTGGCAATCAGCTCATTAACATTAAAACTAACTCATAACACTGTGATAAATGATTGTTACATAAAACCTTCAGCGAGTTGTAGTTACAAGTGCATAAATGACTTTTAATGAACCACTCTCAAAATAAACGAGAGGATTTTTTCATAATCCCATGGGACGCAGCATTAAAAGGCCCCAAAGGTCCAAAGGCCGAGGTCGGTGTGTCCTACAAGAAACGATATTTGTGGCTTATTTTGTGTGTTAGTCTGTTTGTGTGTACGTGCGCTTGTCGGTACTAGGTGAAGTAACTCCGTCTGACATCCTGAGAGAATTGATTCTCTAGCTTCCCGTCTTACCCTGGCTGAATTTAACGAGAGGCTTGCTGACGCACATGCAACTCGCAAACACATGCACGTTTCACTTGTCTGGGCACGCAGCAACTTTAACTGTGCGGAATATTGGCTCTTAATCTTATGGGGAACGTGTGCACATCTGGTGTATGTGAGCAGCATACAAGGCAGCGCTGCAAGGGTTAAATGTCTGAGTGATGCATTGATTGCGGGCGAGCGCAGGGAAGCATTCTAGAGAGGGAGATTAGAAGACG